AAATAGTCACAATAATAAGACGATATGTCATGCGCAACACCAGCATCCCTACCTCCAAGGTCACGGTCACATTTTGAGGTCAAAAGTTAACATAGTCTTTTAAAGGGTATATTTTGTGTCCGGTCCATAGCATTTTCTTATATCAAAGGATTTTAAAATAACTTGGCACAAATAGTCACAATAATAAGACGATATATCAAGTACAACACCTGCACCCCTACCTCCAAGGTCAAGGTGACACTTAGAGGTCAAAATAACAGAGTCTGTTATATGGTATATTTTGTGTCCTGTCTATAACTTCTTCATAGATCAAGGGATTTTGAAAATACTTGGCACAAATAGTCACAATGATAAGATGATATGTCATGCGTAACACCAGTGTCCCTACCTCCAAGGTCAAGGTCACACTTAAGAGGTCAAAGCTTAACATGATAGATTTTTAAATTCAGTGTTTCATTTTATTTCTTATAAATTTCTAATAAATTTATTGTTGCATTTGCAGATCTAGCATTGATTTTATGCTTCATATAAAACTTCCCCGAGGCGGGGGATGTTGGTAACTTTGTTACAAATTCTTGTTTAATTTCAAAATCCGCAAGAACTTCTCGAAGCGGTTACTTCCCTTTATATGTACAGTAACGCCGAAAAAGTAAGGGGAGATCACTGCGTAAAGATTGTCAAATGACAGGCGCATTAATTTTCAAACCTTTTCAGGGAAGAAAAGATAGTTCCAGATTGGTCGAAGATTTCTAATATTGTGTAATTCTTTAACATTTCCGCAAATTACAGGTTATGTATTCAGATAATTTTGTTACGCAGATGAATATCATTTTATTCAATGAAAATTGCTTGGCTATTTCAGTAAAGCTTCAGATTATTGTGATCGTCTAAATGAACATTTGTTATTTAGACATTTTGAAAAATAAAGTAAGGATATTTAGACTCTAGTTAAGGGACAAATTTAGGCAGTCGACAATCGATAACCAATTTCTACCATATGTAACGGTCTACCCGATAATTTTATCCACGTAAACAAAGCGCTATTTTAGCCACACTTCAGCGCAAATTACACAAAGAGTAGTGAAATATTATATACATGTGGGACTATTTGGGCGAGAGGAGTTTGCTAAATTATTTACATTAGTGTTAAACAACAGGTTTACCGTGAACAAATTATCTCCAAGTTAATAAGGATTACAACCCTAATCTAGAATCATGTGGTTTGCTTCAGGCTGTTTTCTTATAACTTCCCCGTGGTCAAGGGGTTACACGCTCCTTTAGGAAGCGAGAGGCCTGTTGCAATTAGTCTTACAGACAACACTGGAAACAGCATTGCTGTGCCTATACAAAAACAAATTGGTTTATAATCTCACAAGTCACAACCTTCACCTTTCTGACATTCTGAGGTCTGTAGAAGTAAAATAAATCGTTGATTTTTGTTGGAAAAAAATAATTGTTTACAAGTAAACTGAAAATAATAGACTTATTTTTTTTATTGGCTACATAAAAAAAAAGTTACAAGTTTACCTGCATGCTATATAGACATTACCCATGTATGTTCTTGAAATAGTGAAAATAACCTACTCAGTATTGGTTTTGCAGCGTTTAAAGTTAGAAACCATATCGCTTTCAAAGTTTTGCAAGCTGACTGTTGAATTTGGCTGTTTGAAAAATCACGAGAAGGTGACAAGCTTTTGCTGATCGTCAGATCCTTATGTGTAGCATTAAGAGCTGATTTTAATCAGATTGAGATATACTCAGAAATTTAAATGAATTTGTTACAATTTATTTAGATTTACTAATTAATAACTAATTAATATACTAATTAACAAATGTGTCTTATACTACTGAGTGATTTTGTCATATATGTAATGTTATCCTATGTTATTATTCAATTACAATGTTGTATAGTTATATAATAAATGTCTGATTAGTGTTTTTAAAAGGAACATTTTTAAATACATGTATGCATGCACATTAAGATAAGCGTCTCACACTGTACAAAAAGATTAGGTGAATAATCATTTGACAAACAATATACAGTAGATAACACTGCAGTTAACATCTGAAACAATTATGCAATCTATGATTGTAAACGTAATCACTAAATTACTGATATTATGATTTATGCAATGTACATTTTGTTTGGCTGATACTTTGTATTGTCATCCTTTAGGTTACTGGGGTCAAGGAAGTTGTGCTTAATATACAGTTATTTCATATGTGATTTGGGAACAGTCAAACTGTTGGCCCGAGGTGGAGGAGGTAGTGTTTTGAACTGTTGCCCAAGGCCGTAGCTCAAAGCACTATCCCCGACACCAAGGGACAACTGTTTGACTGTTCCCAAAACACGCATGAAATAACTGTTTTATTACCTGATCAACTACTGTTTTAACAGTATTTGCAGAAGAAAAAAGGAACAAGAAAATAGTTTTGCACATATGTTAATAATTAAACTTAATATTTTAGCTATGTAACGTCACGTCTGGTTCATGATCAAGATCGATGGACGCTTCAAGTGGAAATCCTCTATGACGTCAATGACGTCAGAGAACGAGAGGGAAACAGTCGAAACTATTGACCGGTCAACAGTTCGCGAACGTTGACGTTTTTTAGAATTTCAGAAAACAGTAAATTATGACATATCAATTACATTTATATAAGGTATCAGGTAATAAAATAGATTATAATACCCTTTTGCTCTAATTAGTCCCCTACCTGTTTAACCGGTTTAATTGTAAAACTAAAATATTTTTTTTATTTAATGTAGACATAATAACCTACCTATCCAAAGTGTGTGTTAATTATTAACACATCACTGTCAGTGGTCTCTCTTTGATTTGTATCAATCCAAAGAAACATTGACACATTTTATCCCATTGATTAATTTCAAACTGTTAATTGATATATATTAACTTCTCTTCTGTGAACGATTTACTTCTCTTCTGTGTACAGCAAATCGTTCACACCTTCATGTGAGTTGTTAAGTTAAAGATCCTGTATGTTTTGTGATTGATATTGTTACTGTGTGTATACCCGTACCACTTGCAAAAGAATATATCATGTGTATAATTATGCAAATAAAACAATTTTCAAACATCGAAGAATATGTGAAATGTGTACTGCAAATATTTGTGCACATTATATTTAATCAATAAATTACATGCATTCATTTATTATTGGAAAATTTGACTTAGAATTTATAGAAAATAAATTTCTAATTACCTCCCTTTATTTACATGAAATGTTAAATTGGGTAATGATAATCTTTATAAATAATGCTTATTGGAACTTACAATATTGACTAATCTTAATTTGAGCATCATATTTATGAAATAAAACCATGAAAAAAATGTGTTACAGGATCTTTAAGTGTTGTAAATTGTTTGTTTATAAACTTTATTTGAGATAATGTGTGAAATGTACAATTTAAAGAACAGGGTTAATTACCGTAAAATTCCTAATAAATGCCCCTCCCCTAATAAAGGCCCCCCAGGCCTTTTGATAAGGAAAACAATCTACTTATCAGTGCTGAGCTCATTATTAAAGCCATAATTTTATTCAAATCATTCAGAATCCATAGTATTTTATAGTAAACACAAATATTTATAATATGATCTTTAAAACCTTAACACTTTTTAATCTTGCTAACACTAAATGTATTTACAGTGATTTTTTGATTTAGAAAAACTGTATTGTAATAATAGCCCACCTTTTGGAAAATGTTTAGTCCCTGGGGGCGTTTAATAGGAATTTTACGGTAGTGGTCATTCTATTGGGCCCCTTTTGTACTGTTAGTGGGAATTCGGACCTTTAAAAGTTGTCCTAATTCATAGTTGCAGGTTGGTCGTAATTTCGGGTCTTACAACCATTGAATTATATAGGGAAAAAATTGGGACCAGAAGAAAACAGTTGTAATAACGATTTGCCCACAATTTAGGGGCGGTCTCAAAGCGAGACTTTACAGTAAAACAACGGTTATGTAGTAAACAGTACACTCAAACAAACAATTGCAAATATCTCAGAAATTCAATCATCCGAATGTATCTAGAGTTTCAAAGTTCTATTTTATATAATTCATAACGACTTTTTTCATGATAGCTTATTAAATATTTTCTGACAATTAAAATACATGATTAAAAAAATGTTTCAGAATAAGTACATTAACCTTATTGTCATGACTATTTGATAATATTAAAACAAAATACAAATTTTCTCTTTAGGATTACAATACCCTATCTCCAAAAGTAGAGTTTATAACCAAATTTATATTTGAAAGGTGGCAACTATACATGTATATAATGGCATTATCTCTTTTTAGAAATTTTAAAGTTTTGCTTTGACTTACTGGTAATGTTTCCTAATATTTCATGAAATCTGATACTAAAAAGCTAACTTACTTCTGAAAGTTGTCCATGCTCTTTGACAAAGCAAAATCTGTCACATGACCTCACACACTCACACAAGCATTGATTGGCTCGTGGACATAGGACTACATAATAAATATTTCAACTATTATTATCGAAAATGGTAAACAAAATACATGCTATTATATGAAGCAGTGTAACGTCATACATAAATGGCAACCACCTGGAGATAGAACTTTGAATTCTGAGTCCAGTGGTATATCATACTCAATTTTCATGAAAATGGAGATACTACTTATAATACAAGCATGTTGTTACGTTACTGTCCTACTCATAAAGCGTTGGCGGCCTTGTCAAGATTTCTGATTCAAGTTCTAGTAGGCTTTTTGTGCCCCCACTATAGTATAGTATGAAAATATCACTTTGTTTATTTCCAATTATTCTTACGGCCATATCTGGAGAATTTTTTAACAATAAGCGCCTCTATCATGAATTATTCATGAACCAAATTCTAGAACTATTCATTGGATGGTTCGGTCATTTTAACATTTCTGTTTCTAAGCCACAAATGAATGAATTGGCATTATTTGATGACTGACTTATAATCTTAAATTATAATATAAATCTTTTCAGTTGAAAGATGCAGCAAAGTTCCATTGGAAGACAGGGTCAACAAAACCAGGGACCCAACATGAATAGTAAGTCTATTATTTTACCCTAGAAACGAAGTTTGGGGGTATATAGGAGTCACCCGGTGGTCGGTCGGTCCAGAAATTTTTTGCATTTTCCTTGTCTGGAGCATAACTTTAAGACTAATGGTTGGAATTCAATACAACTTCATACAATGGTCAAGCACATTGAGAGGAAGTGCAGTGCACAAGAACCATAACTCTATCTTGACTAATCACAGAGTTATTGCTCTTTCTTACTATTTTTTTTTCCAGTGCATAACTTGGAATTCAATGCAACTTCATACAATGGTCAAGCACAATAATAGGAAGTGCAGTGCACAAGAACCATTACTCTATCCAGAGTAATTATAGAGTGTTGGCCTTGTGTTACTTTTCCTTGTCACAGAGCATAACATGAAATTTACTGGTTGGAATTCAATACAAGTTCGTACAATGGTCAAGTATATTGAGCACAGGAACCATAACTTGAAAAATAATGGAGGAATTCAATGCAACTTCATACAATGGTCAAGCGCAGTTAAATGAAGTGCAGTGCACAAGTACCACAACTCTATTTGGATTGATTACATAGTTATTGTCCTTTGTTACTTTTTTGTCCAGTGCATTACTTGAAAACTAATGTTTGGAATACAATGCAACCTCATACAATGGTCAAGCACAATGAGATGAAGTGCAATGCTAAAGAACCATAACTCTATTTGGACTTATTACATAGTTATTGCCCTTTGTTACATTTTTTTGACCAGTGCATTACTTAAAATTAATGGTTGGAATTCAATACAGCTTCATACTATTATCAAGCGCAATGAGAGGAAGTTCAGTGCTCAAGAAATGTAACTGTATCTGGACTTATTACAGAGTAGTTCAATAAAAGTTCATCAATTGTCAACCACAGTGAAAGGAAATGCAACATACAAGAACCACAACTATCTTTAATTGCCCACAACCATATCTCTATTTCAATTCTTTTACAAAGTATTCTTTTACTAGTGACTTTTTAGCTCACCTGTCACAAAGTGACAGGGTGAGCTTTTGTGATCGCTTTTCGTCCGGCGTCCGTCCGGCGTCCGTCCGTCCGTCCGTCCGTCGTCCGTCCATAAACTTTTGCTTTAAATGACATCTCCTCATAAACCACTGAGCCAATTTCATCCAAACTTCACAGGAATGTTCCTTTGGTGGTCACCTTTAAAATTGTTCAAAGAATTTAATTCCATGCAGAACTCTGGTTGCCATGGCAACCGAAAGAAAAATCTTTAAATATCTTCTTTTAAACAACCCTAAGAGCTAGAGCTTAGATATTTGGCATGAAACATCTTCTAGTGAATGTCTACCAAGTTTGTTCAAATAAAAGCCCTGGGGTCAAAATTGGCCCCGCCCCAGGGGGTCATTGATTTTCCCTATATGCATATAGTAAAACCTTAAAAAATCTTCTTTTAAAGAACCGTAAGAGCTAGAGCTTAGATATTTGTCATGAAACATCTTCTAGTGAATGTCTACCAAGTTTGTTCAAATAAAAGCCCTGGGGTCAAAATTGGCCCCGCCCCAGGGGGTCATTGATTTTCCCTATATGCATATAGTAAAAACTTAAAAAATCTTCTTTTAAAGAACCATAAGAGCTAGAGCTTAGATATTTGGCATGAAACATCTTCTAGTGAATGTCTACCATGTTTGTTCAAATTAAAGCCCTGGGGTCAAAATTGAACCCGCCCCAGGGGGTCATAGATTTTCCCTATATGCATATAGTAAAAACTTAAAAAATCTTCTTTTAAAGAACCCAAAGAGCTAGAGCTAAGATATTTAGCATGAAACATCTTCTAATGAGTGTCTACCAAGTTTGTTCAAATAAAAGGCCTGGGGTCAAAATTGGCCCCGCCCCAGGGGGTCATTGATTTTCCCTATATGCATATTGAGTAAAAACTTAAAAAATCTTATTTTAAAGAACTCAAAGAGCTAGAGCTAAGATATTTAGCGTGAAACATGTTCTAATGGGTGTCTACCAAGTATGTTCAAATAAAAGCCCTGGGGTCAAAACTGGCCCCGCCCGGGGGGGGGTCATTGATTTTCCTTATAAGTGTAAAGCAAAAACTTAAAAATCTTCTTTGAAAAAACCCAAATAGCTAGAGTTTAGATATTAAGTTTGTTCAAATAAAAGCCCGGGGGTCAAAACTGGCCCTGCCCCAGGGGTGTCATTGTTTTTTACTATATGTGTATAGTAAAAACTTTAAAAATCTTCTTTTAAAAAACCCAATGAGCTAGAACTTAGATGTTTTCTTATGGGTGTCTACCAAGTCTGTTCAAGTAAACAAATATAAACCCTTGGGTAAAAATTGGCCCGGGGGTCGGGGGGGGGCCTATATACAGGTGAGCGACCTCAGGGCCATCATGGCCCTCTTGTTTCATTTCGGAAGCAGTCTTGCGGGAGTATTAATCATGTTTATTGACAGCTTTAGTTTATTTTAATCCACCTTTTGGCCCTTTTTCCTAGCCATTTTGGAAAAGGGAACCTAGCCCAGTTTGGAAATGTTGCATTGTTAAATTGCTTAATTTAAATTTAAATTTTTTGGCACCTTTGAAACCTCCTTTGTACACTCTTTTTGCATAGTATTTTAAATTTTGCAACATTATAACATACACAAATGTCAACAGAAGCGAGGTAACAAATACAATTAAATGTGACTATAAAATGTGAGGTTCAAACAACTGTTTGTTACAATACCAGAAAGAACGCCAGCAAATTTTGTCAGTTTGGATATTGTGGATTTAATTGTGTCTAGTTTCAATTAGAAATATTTTAAAGATTGGGAAAAATAAGCAAATTTACCATTGGGATCTGACCACTGGTGATAATGGGAAAAGGCCTGGCCTTGTATTATAACAATACATGTTTAATGATATATTTCTTTCCTTGACTGGGGGTATAGATATATATACATGTAGTACTACTATTGAAAATAGGGTTAAAATCAATTATAATATTAAATTCAATTAACATTAATGTTAACTATTAATTTTAATTGTGTAATTATAATCTCAAAAGTGCCCTTTACCTGTTTAAGGACATTATAGATTTAAGAGTAAATTTGTTACATTTCAGTAAACATCAATAACCAAACTCAACCACAACGACGCCCTGTAGGACTTACGTTTCCAATACAGGAAGGTTTTCAAGGTGGTCAAGCTAGGATTAATGATGATACGGAGAGTGATGCAGGGTCGTTGTTGTATGACAATAACTTTGCTGGAATTCAGGCTACACCATCCTTTCAACAACCAGCACTGTCAGAAAATACAAGGGATCACAGTTTGCCATCCATATTTCCTGTTCAGTCTGCATCAGGATGTTCAGGTGTTTCTATGAATATACCTTCAGGGGGACATCTCCGACCCTTGCAGAGTTACAATGAGGAGTTAGTTGGTAAGTGAAATTTATATGGTACACTTAATGTTTTTAGCTCACCTGAGCTTGCTCAGGGTGAGCTTTTAGGATCGGTGATTGCCTGTCGTACGTCCACAATTGCTTGTGAACACTCTAGCCGTCGCATTTTTGCCTCAATCATCATCAAACTTGGTCAGGATGCTTATCTAGATGAAAGCTCGGATGAGTTCTATCATGGCTCATCTCGGATGAAAAACTTAAGGTCACAAGAGCTAAAAATAGAAAAACCTTGTGAACACTCTAGAGGTCACATTTTTGACCAATCATCATCAAACTTGGTCAGGATGTTTGTCTAGGTGATAGCTCGGATGAGTTCGAACGTAGGTCATCTCGGATGAAAAAGTAGGTCACAGGAGCTATAAATAGAAAAACCTTGTGAACACTCTAGTGGTCACATTTTTGAACCAATCATCATCAAACTTGGTCAGAATGCTTGTCTAGTCAATTGCTTGGATGAGTTCGAACATGGGTCATCTCTAATGAAAAACTAGGTCACAGGAGCTAAAAATAGAAAAACCTTGTGAACACTCTAGTGGTCACATTTTTGACCCAATCATCATCAATCTTTGTCAGGATGCTTGTTTAGATAATAGCTCGAATGTGTTCGAATATGGGTCATCTCGGATGAAAATTAGGTCACCGGAGCTATAAATAGAAAAACCTTGTTAACACTCTAGCGGTCACATTTTTGCATCAATCATCATCAAACTTGGTCAGGATGCTTATCTAGTTGATAGCTTGGATGAGATTGAACATGGGTCATCTCGGATGAAAAAGTAGGTCACCGGAGCTAAAAATAGAAAAACCTTGTTAACACTCTAGCGGTCACATTTTTGCATCAATCATCATCAAACTTGGTCAGGATGCTTATCTAGTTGATAGCTTGGATGAGATTGAACATGGGTCATCTCGAATGAAAAAGTAGGTCACCGGAGCTAAAAATAGAAAAACCTTGTTAACACTCTAGCGGTCACATTTTTGCATCAATCATCATCAAACTTGGTCAAGATGCTTGTCTAGGTGATAGCTCGGATGAGTTCGAACATGGGTCATCTCGGATGAAAAAGTAGGTCACCGGAGTTAAAAATAGAAAAACCTTGTTAACACTCTAGCAGTCAAATTTTGCATCAGTCATCATCAAACTTGGTCAAGATGTTTCTCTAGGTTATAGCTCGGATGAGTTCGAACATGGGTCATCTCCGATGAAAAACTAGGTCACAGGAGCTAAAATCAGAAAAACCTTGTTAACACTCAAGTGGTCACATTTTGCCTTAATCATCATCAAACTTTGACATGATGCTTGTCTAGGTTATAGCTCGGATGAGTTTGAACATTGGTCAACTCGGATGAAAAACTAGGTCACAGAAACTAAAACTATAAAAACCGTCTTAACACTCTAGTGGTCACATTTTTGACTAAATTTTCATCAAACTTGGTCAGGAAACTTGTCTAGGTCATTGCTTGGAATAAATCGAACAAGGGACATCTCGGATGAAAAACTAGGTCACAGGAGCTAAAAATAGAAAAATCTTGTTAACACTCTAGTGGCTACTGTTGTGATCCAAATATTCTGTTAATTGGATTGAAAGTTTGTTTTGACGATTTCTAAGTCAAGATTGAACATGGGTCATCTTGGATGAAAAACTAGGTCACACCGCCCAAATATGGAAAAACCTTGTTAACACTTTGGTTGTCACAATTTTTGACACAATTGTCATCAAACTTAGTCAGGATGCTTGTCTAGGTAATTGCTTGGATGAGTTCGAACATGGGTCATATCGGATGAAAAAATAGGTCACAGGAGCTAAAATTAGAAACATCTTGTAAACACTCTCGTGGCTACTGTTTTGATCCACATATCATGGAAATTGGTCTGGTAGTTTGTTTTGATGATTTCTAGGTCAAGTTTGAATATGTGTCACCTGGGGAAAAAACTAGGTCGCACTGCTCAAATATGGATAATCCTTGTTAACACTGTAGTGGTCACATTTTTGACTCACCTGTCATGAGACTTGGTCAGAATGCTTGTCTAGGTAGTTGTTTGGATGAGTTTGATAATTCAGGTGAGCAATCTAGGGCCATCATGGCCCTCTTGTTTTATTATCTCAAGGTCACACCAAGGCATGAAAGGTTAATTTCATGAATACATACAGGTCATGACTGTCTGGTCATCAATTTTGTCTTGCATGGATGACTTAAAATTACTAGGCTTTATTTTATTGAATATTAAGAAGACTTGTAAAAAGAAAATACCAGATTGCAGCTAGCAAGGAAAAGAAAGAGAAAGGTGACATGGATGAATTTTATGCGTCTTTTCAAAGAAAAGGGGGAACATTGTTTTGCAGCATGATGTCTGTCAGTCTGTTGTTTGATCTGTTGGTCCTTCCCACATAACTTGAGAGCACATTGGCACATAACCAAAGGTCAGAGTTACTTTGACCTTGTATAACAAGGTTTCCAGCCAATAACTCAACAGTCTATGGGCTGTCAGTGCTGAAACTTCACAGGTGCCATTGTCTTAGCCAATAGATGACCCCTATTTGTATGCTCCCTGAAGGGTGAGCATATTGTCGCAGCCTTGTCCATCTGTCTGTCTGTTTTTTTCCTGAGCATTACTTGAAAACACTTGGACATAAGGCCATCCTTAAAAAAATGTTTGTTTGCAGTAACGCGACCGACTCACAAAATTTGCCCCTACTCAAATTTTTTTTTCATGGTCTGGATAAAAAAATTTTTTTTGAATCAGAAAATTATGCCTTGTGCTTTGTTTTCGTTCTTTTAAAGGTTAATAGAAGAAATAAAATGTAGGTCTTATTGTATTAGAATTCATTTATCAATTTATTAATTGTTACCAGATTATCAAAGCATATATTGTCCAGCATTTTGAAATTCCATGTTTATTTGGGAGTACAGTTCAATAAAAAAAAAAAAAATCGATCTACCTACCCACCTTGAAAATTCTGGGTCGGGTTACTTCAAACAAACATTTTTTTAAGAATGGCCTAATTTGTAAAAACTGCACACAGTGGTAGAGGGTATTGAGGTGGAAATCAGTGCCAAAGAACCAGGGTTTGCGTTTAGTGTGAAGTCAGGCAATACTTCACGGAAAATATTTCCACTTTGCCCTTTTTGATTGGAAAAGCGAAATTCAAGTCGCCTCAAAATCTGATGAAATTTGAGCACACATGCTGAAGTGGGGCCGTAGCGACACTTTGTAACCAACATAGCTAAAATGACGCTTTGTTTATGTGTAGTAAATTATCAAGTGTCAAAGCTGTGACAGACCCTGATTGATACGAATGTGGCGGATGATAACTAAGACAAGATTGACAATTAATTTTCATCAAATGTATATTAATGTGTTTGATTTACATAATCTCCTTATAAAATTGCCGGTTTGTTGTTCTATATGATTCGTTATCACCGTTACTTACAATAGTAATTAATTATAACTGTATCCCCATGTAACCTTAATTCGGCGATATAAAAATTAATGTCAGTGGCATTTTAAATAAACTACAGAAGTAGAGTAATTTATGAATATTTATTATTGGTAATTTATTACCTCCCCTTACCAAAATGACTTTAGGTGACTTATATGTTTCTTATATGCAACTTATACTTGACCTATAAGAGAACTATAAGTTACATATAAGTCACTTATAAATCACCTAAAAACCTGTCTAAGTCAGTTATAGGTATATGCTACATATAAGTCACTTTTGGCCATTTTTTCCCCAACAATGAACATAAGTCACATACAAGTCACCTATAAGTGCCTTATACTGGTGAAGTTTGAAGTAACCAGTTTCTATGTTAGATATAAGTGAAAACTTAGAACTTTTGCGAGACTTTTTATTACTGAGCAAAGCTGAAAAAATTACTAAATACAAAAACATGAGAAAAATTGATAAAATTTATTGAAGTTGATTTGTAATTCTTTGCTTTAACACAATGGGTATCAAAATACTCAGAATTTAAAATACTATAATCTTAGACCTTAATCACAAACAATTAAGATTTTTTTTAAATGTTGCTTATTAATTTTTGAACACAGCTGGGGGTTTTTAAATAAGATAATAGGAAAAATGATTATCAATTAAGTATATTACCTGTAAAAAATTTTGGTACATATTCTGTGCGGAATTGGGACAGAAATGGCATTCAATCAGTGATTTCTAGGCTACCATGGACAGAAATGAAATTCCATGTCATTTCTTCTCACAAGGAAAATATTTCACATAAAAGTCACCCAAGGCATAATTCTACTCTTGTTTTTTTTTCTAACTTGAAACAGACATTGAAATCTATATGATTTTACCAACTGTACTTCTTACAGACCTAATTTTGGGGAAGTAAGATATTCTAACAAGAAAAGGAGGTGTATTTTTTTTTAATATACAAGTGTTTTTTTTAAGACACTTAGGCCTAGTGTATTTTAGATATTTAAACAATAAAAAAAACAGTGCTTGAAATAAACAGTTTATATTGCCCTTTTAATCTATATAAAATCAAGGAACCAATATGCCTGAAGATTGCTTATATTTTCTACATCCACTGATACACCACATAGATCAGAGGTCTGATAAAACTGGCCACCTGCCTTTGCCACCATATGTGCATGACTAATTTTTTGACTGGTCATTCCTACAAATCAGACTGTTCCATGTGATTATTTTGGGGAAATATAACATTTCTTATAATCCTGAATTTGTAAAAAAGGACATTGCATTTTCTTTTTCAAAAATGTATAATGATTTTTAAACTTTACATATCTATTACTTATTTGATTTTTTTTCACATTCAATGATTGTAAGATAGAACTGATGAGTGCTTTGATTTTTGGATTTACCCTGTTTTACATAACATTGGACCTGCCCAGGTACACAGTTGTAAGTCTGAAACATTTAGGTTAGCAAGCTGGTGGAAATCACAGAGAATCTACTTGATGTTTTAGGTATTTTAGAGATATTGTTTTGTTTAAGATGTTTAAGTATAGTTATGGTAAATAAGAATGACAAGAAGAATCACCTTGGACAAGAAGATATACAACAAAATCAGGTAAATACCTTTGAGTTACATTTATGCAGAATTGATACAGGTTATATACATTTGTATTAAACAATCAAAGTAAAATGGCAGCAAACTAAAATTTGTAACTTGAGAGATCAAGGCTGTTTTTATTTCTAAGCTTCATACATTAGATTTACTAATACTTGTAATTGATTTAAATCTAGATTTAATAGTTAAATTAATTGAATTTTTAGAACTAAATAGTACAATCAGTAGTTTTATGCAGCTGAATAAGACAGGGTTATCATAATCATTTATCATTTTATTGTTGTTTTCAATGGAGAAATCTGATATTACATTTTACATACATTGCAGGCTAGTAGGACTAGTTCTTACTTTGAGATGCCAGGTGAATAATGATATGCAGTATTGAGCCTGAAAAGGTATATTTTTTTAATCTCTATACTTACTGCTCTAAATCTTTCACAGAAAAGAGCATAATAAATGTTTTTGCAGATAGTGCAGTTAATCAATTCTTATAGAGACTTTTAGCAATTCTTAAACAACACTGTTGACTTGTGCATTAAAATGAGATACTGTGTAACTTAGTATATTTGTATATGCATAAGCATAAAATAAATAGCTAATTTAGTTTGATGATATAAAAATATGAAATATAACTGAACATACAATGGTCGGAATTTATTCCACATCTTTTTTAATTAATTATGAATTTTATCTTTAAAGGTGAACACAGCCACATGAAGTTCTCCGAGGAAATAGAAGCAGAGCACTGAAACAGACATCAATAAAAGAAATAGTAGTTTGAATAATCAGAAACATTTGATCAAATTTATGATTTGAACAGTTCCTCACCGACAGACTTCCAGCAAAATAATTGTATAAATAAAGTGTTTGATTCCAAGAAAACCAGTAAAAAACAAAAACTTGCTGCTAGAAATGAATATTGTTTTTGTTATAGTGAATGTAAGATGATTGAACTGAAGGATATGTATGTTGAATTTTGTATTTTGCTCATTTATATGACTATGAATATAAATTAATAAACATTTTTGAAATTAAATTACTAAACTTTTTTTTCAAGCTTTTTTGACATCAAGCAACATATATGCGACTTACATGTGACTTATATGTTACTTATAAGTGACTTATATTAAGTCACTTATATGTAACATATAAGTCACTTATATGTAACATATAAGTCACTTATATGTTACTTATAAGTTGAGCATATCTTTGACTTACATGTCACATATTTGTGACTTATATATAACTTATACTTCACTTGTATGTCAAAATGCCAGGCATTTATACTGCACTTACATCTAATTTGCATTTAAAATACATATACTTGACTTATAGGTGAATTGACTAAGTGAAGTATAATCTACATATAAAATAGCCTATAAGTGACTTATAAGTGAATTCCGTAAGGGTCTGTCCATACGAAGTTAACCTCAAACTGCAAGTTGGATTTTTCTTAAGTTTTACCTATACAAAGAGCTTCATAATTTACATACTTACTAATTAACACAAAGTACATAATCTAGGCAAAAGACATATCTATGGCTTCCATTTTTACTAAGTTATAGCCCTTTCAGCACTTACAAAATGAATAATTGGATAACCTAAATCAGCAAGTTGGATATATCTTAAGTTCAATCTATAGAAATAGCTTTATAATTACCACACTTACTTATCAATACAATGTACATAATATTGCCAAGTTAAATATGTGCCATCCAGTTTTCTAAGTTATTTCCCTTTTTATCACCTTGAAAATAGGGCCTTGTATGGTTAACCTATTCTGGCAAGTAGGATTTATCTCTTTTTTAAGCTCACCTGAGCGCTATTAGGATCAGTGAATGTCCGTCATCTGACTTCTGTTGTCCGTTCACATTTGTTGGTTAACACTCTAGTGGTCACATTTTTGCCTCAATCATCATCAAACTTGGTCAGGATGCTTTCTAGGTAATTGCTTGAATGAGTTGGAACATGGGTCATCTCGGAAGAAAAACTAGGTTACAGAAGCTACAAATAGAAAAATCTTGTTAACACTAGTGGCTACTGTTTTGATCCAGATATCCTGGTAATTGGTCTGAATGCTTGTTTTGATGATTTCCAGGTCAAGTTCGAATAAGGGTCAACTGGGGTAAAAAACTAGGTCCCACTGCCCAAATAGTGAAAATCCTTGTTAACAGTCTAGTGGTCACATTTTTGACTCTATTGTCATCAAACTTGGTAAGGAAACTTGTCTAGGCAATTGCTCCAAAGATTTTGAACATGGGTCTTCTCAGATGAAAAACTAAGTCACAGGACAGGGCCCTCGATCAACCAAATCTACGACCGATGATCGGCCGCAGTCCCCCATCAAAATAGTATGTTTTTTTCTCCTAACAGAGGTAAAAATTCCTCCTCAAAACATTTAAAGTCCTACAGGAAAAAAATGCTAATTTATTTTGTTTTTGAAAAATAAAATCCATCTACTTGACAACCATTTTGTTAGTGGAATATTGTATACATGTCTGCACGTTTCCGTTTGATGGTTCGACAGTGACTTTTTTCCCAAAATCTAACTGAGCATATTTGCTTTTTCACACTGAAAATAATTACAAACTTGTAAGTTTTTTTTGATGATAACTGCGTTAAATCGGGATTTTACAGTATTTACGAATCACTAGAAGTTACGTAAAGTAAAAGTTTGTTGACTTCTTGAAATGTTTATAAGTTCAAAACTTTTGTTCTTCTATTATTAAATAAAGTACGTATATAATTACAATTCCTTGTTGCTTTCCATTGTCTTCTTATGAAGTATCTATATATTATATGTGTTTAAAAGTTTATTAATTTACTTAGTTATCAATGCCAAAATGTCTAAAGAAATTAAAAGGAATTTCTGATGTTAGTTTTCGAGTGTCCAAAAGAGAAAGGCTGCTGGGTCTCTGTTGCATGTACTTTTGTTATTCTTTGGCTTTGGCCAATCGCATGTACCGTTACAAGAGCCTGGTAGCCAAGGCACACAGGGAAACATGTTGTTGTTCTCCAAAGAAAATAGACCCACATGTTGGCGATAAAAAATCATATTTCATCGACAACTTGATAAGAGCCCCTAAGTCATGATGAATTAGTGTTGTGTAACCTTGGTTTCAGACAATTGTCATTCCAAATTGTAACTTTCATGTTGTAGCCATTTTCGTGAGCCGCACAGGAAAAAAGTTTGTCTGGCTCGAACGTTTACAGAGTTATAATAATTTGGTCTGCATTTACATGCAATGATATGATATCTGCATAATTATATTTTATCGTTTTGCTACATGTAAATATTATTTCCTCTATTACTGACTCGGACGATTTGGTAATCACCGATTATTTTCATATAAAAGTTTAATTGTTTTGGATTTCCGGGTTTGAGCCAAAGAAAATCAAAAGCGTCATCATAGAAAGTGGTTTAAGGTTATGAGTGTGTTGTACTCGATAGGTTAACGTTATTGCCCTTTGTACATCTATATGACCTCCTATTACAATATAAAGAAATGGCACTATTGGACAACCCTGTTTAATAGGGCAGGAAATTTGAAAATATTCAGAAATAAACCTGTTTGTTTGTATAGCTATTTCCAAGCTGACTGAACACATTTGAACCCATTTCCTGAATTTGTCTCCTAAACCATACCTTTTAAGCAAATATCTCCATTCTACCCTATCAAAAGCCTTAGTTTGATCTAAAAAAATTATAACACCATCTTTCTTTTCTAGATCAGTACAATAGATGATGTCCTGTTGGCTTTCTGCAAACTTGTACCTTGATCATTACTTTTTAAGTTGTTGGTGTATTGTCTTCATACTTGGCTACAACAACTCATAGGACAAGACTTTTCAGAAGAACAGACTAACCTTGACTTTCATCCATAAATGACCTTGACCTTCATGGTCAAATGTCCAAATTTTGCTTGTTTCTAGCTATTAGTGGCTATAACTTTATTATACCCCCAAAATGTGGGCTATAATGAATGGGCTTTGTCGCGTCCGTCCGTCCGTATCAATTATCGTGTCAGCTCTATAAATCCTATACCAATTGAAGGATTTTCTTCAAACTTGGCTCAAATGTTCACCTCAACAAGGGGAATGTGCAGAACCAATGTTGTCCATGTGTCAGCTCAAGGTTAAGGTCACAATTGAAGGTCAAATATGAAACAAACATATGACAGTATGCCTTTTCCGCTCTGTAAGTCCTACACTTATTGAAAGATTTTCTTCAATCTTGGCTCAAATGTTCACCTCAACAAGGTCATGTGCAGAACCCATGTTACCCTTTTGCCGGCTTAAGGTCAAGGCCACACTTGAAGGTCAAAAATTGACTTAGAAAATGTTCTGAAATTTTAACATGTACTTGAATATTTCTAAAACTAGAACAGATAGTCATTTGAAACTTCAAATAAATACAAAATGTGGCAAGTCAGATATGCAGGTCAAGTTTCATAACTAAAAAAAAGTGTGTGTGCGTGTGGGGGGGGGGGGATAACTTTGTATTGTATTTTGACAAAGTTAAGTCCATTTTTATGTCTTTAAATTTATTTACTATAATATTTCTTAAACCAGAACAGATATTTACTTGAAACTTAAAATTTATATGAATGGTTACAAGCAAGCTCAGATGACGAAAATTCTACAATTCCATTGAATTATGACACAAGTTATGCCCCTTTTAGGCTTAGAAAATGTTCTGATATAACCATTAATACTTAAATGTTTCTGAAACTAGAACAGATATTCACTTAAATGAAGGGTCACAAGTAAGCTCAGTATGCAAAGTTTTTCCACTCTTAATTACATTTTGACATAATTATGCTATTTTCTTAACTTCACTGCTTTTGTTTGTTTTAGTACATTGGGGAAATAAAAGGTTATTTGTAATTGTATCGGACATGATTTGACAATATATATTTATACTTTAACCTGTACAATTTGTCTTTTTTCACCAGAGATAATTTCTTTTTATGTATAAGTATTTGTGCCCATTAACCACCTTTCCAAGTCATCTTCTGTCAAGGACATTGGTGGGGGTATGGATAGCATTCAGCGATAGTTCTAGTTTTTGAATGGATCGTCTTCAAACTTGAAAACAACATCGTTTAGGATAGTCCTTATGTTAACCAGACACACCTTGACCTTCACTCATAAATCACCTGAACCTTGAAGGTCAAATTATTGATTTTCTTTTGCTGTAACTGACTATAACTTTGTTGTTAAGGAATGAGTTATATATTCATATTTAGACACACTATTCTTTGGGATAAGACCTTCATGTATGACAAACTCAAATTGACCTTGACTCATTCATGACCTTGACCTTGAAGGTTGAATGATTGAATTTTCACTGATTTTTGCTATAATTGACGGTAACTTGGTAATTAATCAATGGGTAATTTTCATACTTGGACAAAACAACCTTGTAGACAACAACTTCTAAAAGTTTGAACTAACCTTGATCTTGAGCTTTAAATGACCTTGACTGACAAGGTAAAATTATTGCATTTTTGTTACTTTGACTTGATTTTGTTATTAATGTACGGATTAGATTTATACTTAGTCAAAACCAGACTTGTAGCCAAACAAACATATTGAATATATTAGATAACATTACATTTGCTTTAATCATATTCATTATGTCTTGACTTGTTTGACTGTTTTGATCTTGTGAGATTGAAAAGAACAATTAGGAGAACAAAAGAAAAGTCACATTAGAACTGAAGATCTGTCCGTCCCTTTACCTTTAATTGAAAGGTCAGATTAATGAAATTTTCTTATTTCTTCCTAAAGCTTTGAGATTTGAACCATGTGCACAGTTTTAGATGTAAGATTGATCTTTGATAACAGCTGACCTGGATTTTGATGAAGTGTCCTACTTTTAAACTTTGATATCAGCTGACCTAGATAATTTTTATGAAGTGACCTACTTTATTGTCCTTAGATGTACAGCTATGAAATTTAGACAAAGTGCACAATTGTAGATGTAAAATTGAACTTTGATATGAGCAGACCTATATAATTAGATGAAGTAACCTACTTTCTTGTCCTTTTATGTACAGCTATGAAATTTGGACCATGTGCACAGTTTCAAATGTAGGATGAATCATTGAACATAATGGTAAAACAATGTAATGGTAAACAAAACAACAAGTGTTACTAGACCTACCAATTGAAATTTAAAAAAAAAACAAGAAAAAAACTATTGTTTTTCCTTTAATTTTCTTTTTAAAGATTTGTTTAAACCTTTTATTTACTTGTTTTTAGAAAAAATAAAAAAAGTTGGGGCTTTGCCCCCGTCCGGCCTTGGCTCCTGTAAATAATAACGTGACATTTCTAAATATAGATGGTCAACAGTATTTTTATTGCATATTTGCACACACTTTCTTTTCTGCTATTTTCAATAGCAAAAAATGAGGGCGATGTAGAATATTCCACATAGAACTGTATGTGCATGTTTTGCTATAATTTTTCAGAATCTTGTATTGCAGAACCAGGTGTAGTTGTGGACCTACAAAGATTAAGAGGAATGTTAAAACAGCGACATGGTGAATCTAAGTATCATAAGGATGTACAAAATTGTATGAGGTCATTTCAACAGGCTTTATTTAGTGAAGATGATGCCTCACAATATGCCATACAACTGCTATACTATTTGGGTAATATATTTACTTACCATGTGTCTGTTATACATTTTATTTTCATCTATTACATTTTTTTTCAGGCCTGAGGGTAACTTCAGTCGTATAAGGGTATGTCTCTTATCTATCTGTCTGTCCTTAGAAGTACAGAGATACTTGTGTGACAAGGAGGACACTAGATAACATTAACATTTGCTTTAATCATATTCATTATGCTTTGACTTGTTTGACTGTTTTGATCTTGTGAGATTGAAAAGAACAATAAGGAGAACAAAAGAAAAGTCACATTAGAAATCAAGATTTGTCCGTCCCTTAGTCAGTTGATGTCCCATAAATAACATGATAAATATTAGGTGTGTTGTCTTTATAGATATGCTCAGAAGAAAGGACTGTTATGGTCAGTTGATGACCTCTGTAAATTCTGAATAATTAGGCCAAAGGGTAAGGTCACAGTGCTACTTAGTGAAAACTCTTATCTGATTAAACCCTTGAAAAGGAATAAAATGGACATGTAGGTTATGTAACTTTGTACTGACAATGCACATGGCCTGTAGATGACCCTTGTGGGTTTTGAGGTCATAAGAACAATTTGTTATGGTCACGTTGATACTAAGTGTGAAATTCTTGTCTAATCTGCAACTTTTTTTATTGAGAAGGAATTAGCCTAAATTTGTTGCCTAAACTTGGTATTGATATTGCTCATGACAAGTTGATGATTCCTATCAATCATATGCTCATTAGGTCAAAGGTCAAGATCACAGGTCAAACTGCTGGCTGGATTTCAACCAAACATTACAAGAGTGATCAGTACCATCCCTAGTTGTGCATATTTACGGCATGTTTCGCTGCACAAAATGGCCGCCAGAGCAGAAATAAAAAAATCTTGTCCGACTTTCAAAGGTCAAACTGCTGGCAGGATTATGCCCAAAATTCACAGTAGTGATCAGTACCATACCTTGTTTTGGAAGACATATGATTTTTGTGACAAAAACCCCTTCTAGTTTCTGTTTTATTGTCTCCCGCCCTT